GAGACCAGATGTTGGAGGTTTTATAGGACCTGAGGAGACCAGATGTTAGAGGTTTTAATGGACATTAGGAGACCAGATGTTGGATGTTTTTTAGGACCTGAAGAGACCAGATGTTGGAGGTTTTATAGAACCTGAAGAGACCAGATGTTGGAGGTTTTATAGGACCTGAGGAGACCAGATGTTGGATGTTTTTTAGGACCTGAGGAGACCAGATGTTGAATGTTTTAGAGGCCATGAGGAGACCAGGTGTCTGAGGTTTTATAAGACATGAAGAGACCAGGTGTTGGAGGTTTTATAGGACCTGAGGAGACCAGATGTTTGAGGTTTTATAGGACCAGAAGAGACCAGATGTTGGAGGTTTTAGAGGACCTGAGGAGACCAGTTGTTGGAGGTTTTAAAGGACCTGAGGAGACCAGATGTTGGAGGTTTTAGAGGACCTTAGGAGACCAGATGTTGGAGGTTTTAGAGGACCTTAGGATACCAGATGTTGGAGGTTTTAGAGGACCTTAGGAGACCATATGTTGGAGGTTTTAGAGGACCTTAGGAGACCATATGTTGGAGGTTTTAGAGGTCCCGAGGAGACCAGATGTTGGAGGTTTTAGAGGACCTGAGGAGACCAGTTGTTGGAGGTTTTGGAGTGAATGTTGTCCCTCTCCGGTCTGATGTAGGATTTTAACAGTTCTGGGTCTTTGCTGGGTTTTTTTGTTTGTTTGTTTTCTTTTGTTTGCATGATGAGAGCAGATGTTGCTCTAAAGCCAGTATTCAGTATATTCCAGTATATTATCCAGTATCCAGTGTACTTTTCTACATTGACGGTGCCTTTTCATATTTACTAGCTGCTTTTACTAGAGGCACAAATACACCCTCATACCATTAGTGAGGCAGGCTTTTAAACTGAGCACTATAAATGGCCAGATGTTGTCTACTATTTAGTTTTAAAGACAGGGTATCTGTAGTTTGCTAAAATAATTCAAATTTAAATTCACCTGATCCTGGAACAGTTCTCCACTTTGCCTCAGCTTTGGTCCAGAGATGACAGTGGTTGTTCTGGATGGTGTTCATACAGCTTTTTTTTTTTTTGCCTGATAGAGCTTTCAGCGGCATTTGTGGGTGAACTGTGTTTACAGACAATGATCTGTGGAAGTGTTCCTGAGCCCAGAACAGAACCAGACCTGTTTTTTAATGCAGGGGCCCCTGGGGGCCCAAAGATCATGATCGTATGAACTTTCAGTCTTGTCCTTTTTAGCTCAAAGATTTCTACCGATTCATGAAATCTTTTGATGATATTATGATCTGTAGCTGATGGGAGATTCAAACTTATCCCAGTTTTCCTTTGTTCCACTTTAGAAGCAGACTGGTGAACCTCTGCCCATCTTTACATATTAGAGATTAAGCCTCTCTAAAAATCTCTCTATACCTTTTACTGACCTGTTGCCACTAAATCTAATTAGCTGCAAAATGCTTCTCCAGCTGTTTCTTATTCAAACTATTTTTCAGCCTTGGTCACTGCTGTCAAACTTTGAGATGTTTCTGCCACAAAATTCCATGTTTTTGAAACATTGTACAATTCCTTATTTTAAAATTTTTGATGTTTTCTGTGTTCCATTGAATGCCACGTTGTTTTATGAGATTTGCAAATCATTGTATTTGTTTTTATTCACCGTTTATAAAATGTTCCAATGCTTTTGGAATTAGGGTTACACATTAAGATTTATTATTATTATTATTATTGTTATAATTATTTTTTTTTTTAAATGCTTTTTTTTCTTTTCAGAGTTGTAACTACAGTATCATTCTGGTGTCAGTATATCTGCCTCTCTTTTGTAGCAGGAAGTTACAGATTAACTGTACAGATTGTAGTACAGCATATCTTATGTTTTAATCTTGCAAATGACTTTTGGTGGTGCTGAGTTTTGGCTTGATGTGTGATTCTAATGGCTTATAGCAACAACCAAGGGTTGGATTTTCACTTTTTGCAACAGACCTGTGTCAAATAGTTGCAAATAATTCTTGCTTAAATGCGATAATTTGATCAAACTGCACACTTCTTGTAATAAGAGCAAAGTTTCAATCAAAGAATCAAAGTTTTGTTGCACATATGAGGAGAGAAAATGAAAAATCAGACAGGAACGTATTTGCAGCTGCTTTTTGAACCAGGTCTGTTTGTGTCGACTTCACATCTTCTACATCTTTGTCATTTGACTTTTTTCCTCTGTAGCAAAATATTCTGACATTGTGACCTCATGTTTGGTAGAAGCATTGTTCTGACTTTGACTTGAACTGTATTTTATTTATTTATTATTACATGTCATCCACACGACTCATTGTCTGCCTTTTGAAGTCCTGTTGAATCTAAATGCTGTAAACTCATGTTACATTCCATTGTTCTCTGGGACGGTGCAAATATTCCTGTCTGTGCTAATGACCGACTCTTTTCTTTCCTATTCTTTCTCTCTTCATGTTTTTAGCTTTTTTGTCTTTTTGTAAGTTAACTTTCAACCCTGTACATTATCAATGGAATAAAACATCCAAACACTACTGTTTGAAACTTTAACTATGGATATTTGTTTCTTTATTGTCACACGTGTGCCTTTGTGTTCCTAATAAAACAAAATGAATGTGATTTTACAACAACGTTATCAAAAGTAAAATGATACGGTGGCTCAATCATAGTAGTGATTAGTGGAGAATTGAACAAAATATTCATATTTCTTGTGCTTTTTACTCAAATAAATTACCAAACATTTATTTTAAGTGGCTTCTTTATTCATTTTTATAAAAACACAACATCCCAGTAAACTTGTTTTATGATGACAAATGCAAGATTTTCAATTGGAACCTGGAATCATGAAGCAAACTATTATTTTTTTTAATCACTGTAACTTTACTTATTTATTAAATTTTTGCCACCTATCACCAAGCAACAGTAGTGCAGCCAGTTAGTTATGAGATAAATATGTGTGAGAAATATCATTGGGCGGTTGGATCTGAAGTAAATCCCTGACTCGTGGATAATCACAAGAGCTGGGAAACATGCACCGCCCGCTGGCTCGTGAGAACTGGAGCAGCACTCGTGCTCATATCTGCAAGAAAAGGCTTTGAAATGACTATCAAAAAATATATATTTTTAGCCCGTGATTTGGTCAGCTCTGGTTACATCAGGTTGGGCAATTCCCTGGGGATGATTGGGATTTGTTACTGGACCACAACCAGGCGTGAGTTCCCCTTTAAATTGGATGCTGTAAACACCTTAAATTTGTCTTGCATGCTTTGATAAATCCCACAAGAGGGCGAGAAGAGAAGAACGCTCCACCGGTGTAAATTGGCAGCACCTCATGAAGGGTGTCTTGGGTTCGTTGGTACTCTGCTCGAACGGCAGCTTCAGTCGTTGTGGCGCTGCTGAGCCAGATGTTGGAGATGTTCAACGTCTTGTTGATCGTGAATTCATAATACTACTTCTCTTTCTGTCGCTCCACCCCCCTTCCCCCGACCCCATCCCTTCCTCTCGTCCTGCTTCCAAGACTCATGGCAGTGGAGGATGAAATAAGGGGAGGACCGGTTTATGAGCCAAAAACCAGGATTTTCGCTGATCAGGTCTGTGAGACTGCTTCTTCTCTCGTCGAGTTCGTACGGTGCATTCTCCTCTCCCATTTCTCCTCTTTGCCTCCTGCTGTTATGATTTTTGTCTGCTGTATGTTTGTCCTCCCCGTCCCACACCGATTGACTTGCCCTGTCCCTGGCCTGTCCTCTGTGTTTGAGTTTGACTTCTATCCATGTGCCAACGAAACGGGAGCTTTGTGTTGCTGTTCCTCAGCTCTGGCTGTGGGGAGTCTTCCTGAGTCTGTGGTGAGGTTTTCAGATCTGTACATGTTCCTGTCAGGCATGGTCCAAAGCCCTCAGATGAAATGATGCAGACTCAGGTTCACATGAAATCTTACTGTGGAAATGGTCCTGCTTCAGGAGCTCCGTCCCTGCAGAGCTTTTCATTTCATGCTCTAAACTCACCCCGCCTTTTGCTTCTCCTGTCGAATTGTAGCAGCTCACCCCCCTTACCTCCCCCCAGCACAAGCGCAAGTCGTGTGGTGGATAAAGTGAATCCATGTGAGGATGTGCTGTCAACTGTGTACAACAAATGATGGGAGGGAGAATCCAAAGAACTGCTCACTCATTCTCTGGCTATTAATCTGATATGAAAGATATGAAAAGATAAGATTAAAAACAGTCTATTCAGAAAAATACTACAAGGTTTCTTATCTTAAACTTCAAAACCTCAGTTAAATACGTAAACCCAAACGTGTGTAAGGGCAACAAACTGTGCGTCACTGGATCATCCAGCAATCAATCAACCTTTATTTATACAGGTAAATCCCATTGAGCCTCGAGGACTCATTTACAAGAGAGACCTGATTTCAACAAAGAAAGATGACAACAATGGACAACAGCAACAACAATAAGCAGTTATAAAAACTCATACTACAGTTTTGGTTTTTTTTTTTGTTTGTTTTTTTTAACAAATAGGATGGCTAAAAGGAAAAAGGTAACAAAACCAAAAAAAACTGCTAGATTCCAAGACAAATGTATAAAACTAAAAACAGGAACATGTCAGCATTGGTCCCTGCCAGGAGTCCAACAGATTCTTAAAGCCACTTAGAGAGGTCAAGGTCGAGAGCTTCAAATCTTTTTGTAAGATATTCCAGGAAACAGGAGCGGAGTAGGAGAAGGCCCTTTTGCCTAGTTCAGTCCTCACTGAGGGAACACTGCAGGTAATAATGTCCTGAGAGCGCACGCTGTAGCTGCACTCACACAGAGACATGTAGGAGGAGATGTATGAAGGCAGCAGACCAAGAAGTGATTTAAAGATGAAAATGTACCAGTGAGAGAGTCTGCGTGAAGTTAATGATGTCCAGTTAACCAGTGAATACAGGGTGCAGTGGTGGGTACGATAATCACAGCCAGTTATGAATCTTAGTGCACCATGATAGACAGCATCCAACATCTGCAGGGTTCTTGTAGGAGCGTTCATGTAAATAATATCACCAAAATCAATTGAGGGAAGGAAAGTCACAGATACAAGGCGTTTTCTAGCATTCAGGGTTAGACAGGATCTGTTTCTGAAAAAGAAACCCAGTTTAATTTTCAGTTTCTTTACCAAGTTTTCCACATGGAGCTTAAAAGAAAGATGTGAGTCGACCAAGATACCCAAATATTTATAGGAATCAACAAACTCAATGGGGACACCATTTGAGGATAAAATCGGAGGAAGAACTGCTGGGACCAACTTCCTATTTGAAAAAAGCATCCCTTTGGTTTTTTCGGCATTTAGGACAAGTTTGAGGTGAAACAAATCAGTCTGGATGTAGTTAAATGCAGATTTCAGAAGCTGGAAAGCCTTAGCAACTGTTTTAGCTCGACAATAAACAACTGTGTCATCAGCATAGAAATGTATGGATGCATTAGCAAATTTAAGTTAGGTCCTCTGAACGGTTTCTTCTTGTTGAAACATTTCGTCTTGCATCCAAATGACTTCATCACTACGAGGAGCCGCAACAAACGCAGTCTTATAAATAGCACCTTCACATAGTGGGTCGACCAGTTTGATGATGCTCAGATGGTTTCTGGAGTCAGCCTTCTCCCCCGCCCTTCACACCTTCATCTGAACATCAGGATGTTTTGAACCACTGGGTCGTGTTCATTCAGTCCGCATGTCTTAAATATTAGAACTGAATTCAGTTAATATGATTCTGAGAAGCTGGTTGACGACCAACATTCGCTGTAAAATTTAATCTCGTAATTTCTCTGTGTTTTAACCCTATATACAATTTATTTCTGATGCTAAATTGCCATGAAAAATATGGCACTTTCTCTAAAAAGTCATTAACTCATTTTTTAAACACATTTATCCAAGAAAATAAAATAAACGGGGAAAAAAAAATAATCAAGTGTTAAAAAGTTTTGAAAAGGTTTGGATGGATGGATGGATGGATGGATGGATGGATGGATGGATGGATGGATGGATGGATGGATGGATGGATGGATGGATGGATGGATGGACAGACAAATAGATGAATAAATGGACTGACCAATAGGATGGATAGGTGGATGCATGGATGGATGAAAGGACAGACGGATGGATGGAAAGCCAATTAGATGAATAAATGAACTGACCAATGGGATGGATGCATGGATGGATGGTTGAATGGACCGACAGACAGACAGACAAATGGATGAATAGACTGACCAATTGGATGGATAGATGGACGGACGGACAAATAGATGGCTAAATGGACTGAACAATAGGTTGGATTGATGTATGTATGTATGTATGGATGGATGGATGGACGGACAGACATAGATCAATAGACTGACCAGTTGAATGGATGGATGATGGGTGGACGGATAGACGGACACAAACAAATAGATGAATTAATAGACTGACCAATAGGATGGACAGATGGACGGATGGATGGATTAACAGATGAATGGATGGATGGATGGATGGATGGATGGATGGATGGATGGATGGATG